GGAGCTCCGCCCCCCTGGAGAAAACGGAGCCTGGACCGCAGCTCCGAGATGGTCATCTTCCCACAATGGGAACATGACTCATCCGCGAACACCACCTCAGCGTGCTTCATGCCCAGACACGTGAGGCAGCGATCGTGACCATCACCCGGCGCCAGGTAACGAACGCATCCAGAAACACACGGGTGAAACGGCATCTTTAAAAAGACGATCCGTCGTCTTTACAAAGACACACCCGTGGAGCTCTTTTAGAGAAATTGCTCTTTCAGGGAAATGCTCTTTTAGTGCTGAGGCGCACAGGGGAAATGGCCACTTGCAGCACAACAGGGGGTAGTGCAGCCTGAAGTGCGCAACCTACTCGACACAGGAATGACCACCGCTGAAGCGCCGTCCGCCAACACCAGAAGCTTCCAAGAGCACGTTGAACTCGTAGCTTACTGAAGACACTTGGATGGATCAGAACGATGTTGTCACTCGGCTCCGAAGCGAAAAGCTGGTATGCATTGCACCGGCTGCCTTTTTATGCTCACGCTGTGATCAGCGGCAGCTGGATGCAATAATTGCATGCCAATGTGCATTGGCTCGTTTAGTTACACTCAAAGTAGATTGGTCTCTTGAAGCGAGATCCTAATTCGTCTGTCACGACGTGACTTGTAGTGACCGACTGAAAGGGAACCTCAGTTATCTTCATCATTATTTACAAGGCCTACTGTTTTTTTTTACAGTGAATCCCATTAGTTCAAGAAAACGTATCATGCTGTTACAAAACATCAATGAAAACATGCAGGAATGACAATGAATGCAGCCAGACTTGATGCGGTTGACATCTGCAAAACATCTCAGGTTTCTCTACTAAACATCTGAGCTGTCATGCGAGCGTTTAGACCGTCTAATCAAACAGCATCAAGATCCTGTGGAATGCTGCAGACATCTGAAAAGAACTTCTGCAATGAATGTGATTTAACGGATCTGATGTTTACGCTTCTAGCCAGTTAAGTCATGTCATGCTTCACCCAGAAGGTACTTAATGTGAACATTTTTGACAGTGTACAGAAATGCAATTATACGACTGATGGGGTCTCTCGGCACGCTCACATGCACATAGAACAAAACCCTCCATAAAAAATGACTTGCTATCTTCAGGTCATGTCAGAACGGTCATATACAAGATGAGCGTGTGTGAATGTTACCACATGGGTTACAACATACCATATTTCATAACTGCGACTTGCGATTTTTTGCGACAATTTGCTGAAAATTGTACTTATCCTCAGGCCATTTTAGATGAGTTTTTGTTTCTTCATGGGAACATATTTGGAGAAATGTAGCATTACATCACTTGCTCACCAATAGATGCTCTGCAGTGAATGGGTGCCGTCAGAATGAGAGTCCAAACAGCTGATAAAAACATCACAATAATCCAAAAGTAATCCACACCACTCCAGTCCAGTCCAGTCCATCCATTAACATGTTGGGAAGCAAAAAACTGTTTGTAAGAGAAAAAAATCATTCAAATAATTTCTTCAGCTAAAATATGTAAAATATCTCTATGTGTAATATTGCTTTCTCCAGTGTTAATTACTTAATAACTAAAACTATTGAAAGTTAATTGAATTAATGTATAAAAATGTAAAACATTAATATTTGATCAAAAGAAAAAACAAAAAACATCACAATAATCCACAAGTAATCCACACCACTCCAGTCCAGTCCAGTCCATCCATTAACATGTTGGGAAGCAAAAAAATGTTTGTAAGAGAAAAAAATCATTCAAATCATTTCTTCAGCTAAAATATGTAAAATATCTCTATGTGTAATATTGCTTTCTCCAGTGTTAATTACTTAATAACTAAAACTATTGAAAGTTAATTGAATTAATGTATAAAAATGTAAAACATTAATATTTGATCAAAAGAAAAAACAAACAAAAAACGTAAATAATTGAAATAAGTTTGGTTAAAGTTCTAAAGTAAAAAACAAACAGAAAAAAATAAAATTCAAGCTAAATAAAAATATTAAACAAAAAACTAATAACAATGACAAAAGCACTTTACAAAATGACTACAATCTTAAAAAATATCAAATAAAAGCTAACTCAAATTATGAATAAATACCAGCAAAAAAAAAAAAAAGCAAGAAAAAAAAAACAACTCCACATAAATCTAAATCATTTACGAACATATTTTCATTACAACAAAAAGTCAAGCAGCAATTTCCCAGGATGACCTGAAGGCAATAATAGCACCCAAGTTCACTATTGGAAGCAAAAATCTCCACAAAAACAATAAGGACAGAGTTTAGGAAATACTGTATAAATGAGGTCAGAGCAGGTCCTCATAAGCAGACCACAGAATCAAAGGCCTTCACTCTTCTTCTGTGCAGTTTGAACATCCAAATGAATTCAGAAAGCATATTTAGTGTCTTCTGGTGTTTATGAGTAATCCCTGCGGTAAAATCCCTTTCTGTTCCCTGACCAACAACCTAAACAAGAGGGATAATGAAGCATAAATTAACCAGCAGCAAGTCTCAATCTGTCCACTGATGTTTCTTGGAGCAGCAATAAATTTGCATCTATACAGTCCATATAATATGCTGCATGTAACTCTACGATTGCTGCATGTAGTTTTCCATTATAGGTAAAATGAGAATTAACTTGAATTTTTTTGGAAGTAGTCGACATGAAATCAAAATGGAAACAACCTTTCCAAAACACAGCTACTGTATGTGTATGTTGAAACGTTTCATGCACATTGAAGACCCTAAATGAAAAATATTCACCAAAATTCATGAAATTCCCTAGTGAAAAATAAATATACTAAAATGTATTTGAAATACTTTTATGTCAAGCTAAGTATACTACACATACATTTACATATTTATGTGCTTAATAAAAATACCCTGCAACTGTACCTTTGGTAAACTAAACTAGTATACTTAAAAGTATGCTAAATTGGAACACCTAATTTTGTGCTGAATGCCCTTTAATTGTGTGGAAGTAGTGCTGAAGTCCAACTAAAAATATACTGTAGTATATTTGTTTGTGCTAAAGTGGAAATATTGCAAGTATACTTATTGAAAGATCATGCAATCCTCATCAATAATGACATCAAAACACATTTTAGGCTTAATATTAAGAAATTAATAAAGCCAAATAAAGTTTAATTATAATTTTTATATCAGTAACTCTTGAGCGATATGCCAGTAAATATGTTAATAGATTTGAACTATACTTAGTATGAAATGTATTTTTAAATATATAATTTTTTTACTAGGGCTATTACTATGTCATATTAACAGGTTAATGTGTCGATTTAGCAGCCCAATGAATACAGCTCGCTCAGTTTGATTGAAATCCACATATTCAATGAGAATTTATTGTCACAAGCACAATTTCTCGTCATAAAGCTACACAAAAATAACGGAACACATTTACACAATTTATACAATCCTAAACTCATTGTTCAATGGACAGGCTAACTAAGTACCGAGAGTTAAATATGCACTCACATTGCACACAATGATATTAAACCTACACAAGTATATATAGCTGTATGTGAAATAAACCATGGTCCGACATAAAAATCACATTATTTACATTAAACATCCATTTGATTTCCAAAAAGGTTTCACGTCAAGGTCTTTCCATCAGTCCAGAGTTGTGGCATGATCGAGTTTCCACGTTATTAGTCCAAAAGTTCATAGTAAGTATCGCAGCTGCCACAAAGATTACAATGAACACCGCGAAATGCTTGATATTTACGCTGCATCTGCTCATATGAGGCTGGTGCCGATTATTTCACAAAGTGACACTGTTGCTAGTGTTTTTTTAGTTGCTAGAAAGTAAAAAATATTGCAAATTAAAAACTTCAATTCAAATCAAATACTGTTTTTGTCTTTACATCCGTCTACATTTATTATTAGTTAAGCTAGGTTATAGACATCACTACATAGACTACATTTTACACGGCAAGCGTAAAAATATCGCAACGAAAAATGAGGTGCAACACGTGAAGAAAACAATCCTTCGCGTCTCGAAAGATCGTAAAAATACTTCTGTACGATAAAAACGTCAAAAAAGGAAATCTCTTCATTATATTTATGCATGTGTGTGTGTGTGTGTGTGTGTGTGTGAGGACAGTCTTGACTTGAGGTTGCCAGCTGAATCATAACTTTAACATACAGTAATTTGACGCAAAAATCCTGCGTCATATTCACATTTCGCCCAAACCAGACATTCATTTGCCTGCTTTCTATGTAAATTAGGCCTTATTATTGATGCCGCTTTATTACAAGTAAATTACACCTTGGCATAAATAATCTTGCACTTTTATTGATTTTAATTGATTTAAAAAATGTAAAAAAATATTTTTTGCGATTTTGTTTTAGTGATAATGGCAGCAGTTAATCATCAAATGATGGTTAAATGAGGAAGAAGTGGGAATATATGTGACCCTGGACCACAAAACCAGTCATAAGGGTCAATTTTTCGAAAGTTTTGATATATTTACGGTAGGACATTTACAAAATATCTAGGACAGTCTTGACTTGAGGTTGCCAGCTGAATCATAACTTTAACATACAGTAATTTGACGCAAAAATCCTGCGTCATATTCACATTTCGCCCAAACCAGACATTAATTTGCCTGCTTTCTATGTAAATTAGGCCTTATTATTGATGCCGCTTTATTACAAGTAAATTACACCTTGGCATAAATAATCTTGCACTTTTATTGATTTTAATTGATTTAAAAAATGTAAAAAAATATTTTTTGCGATTTTGTTTTAGTGATAATGGCAGCAGTTAATCATCAAATGATGGTTAAATGAGGAAGAAGTGGGAATATATGTGACCCTGGACCACAAAACCAGTCATAAGGGTCAATTTTTCGAAAGTTTTGATATATTTACGGTAGGACATTTACAAAATATCTTCATGGGACATGATCTTTAAAGAAAAATCGATAATTTTGACCCATACAATGTATTGTTGGCTATTGCTACAAATATACCCGTGCTACTTAAGACTGGTTTTGTGCTCCAGGGTCACATATTTATTTTGCTCTTTTGTTTGTGAATGAGGAATTAAGCCAAGTGTGTGTGTGTGTGAGAGTGAATGCAGAAATGTGTTTCAGCAGCGTCATGTGTGTCACATGTGAGATGAAGATACTGCAGTCCGAACCAAAACAAACAAAAGAGTCGGCGATTACTCAGAGAACGGCGGGAACATGCCGAGGTCGGCAAAGTCTTCGATGTTGTAATTGGTTGTTCCTTGGGTGGGATCTCCCGGCATCGGCAGCATATCCTGCGGGAAAGAAACAGAGCGTGATGTTCAATCAGATCTTCAGTAGTGTCTGTGAACCGAACTATAATAGCCCATTCACATCAAGAGATGCTACAAAATGAATTTGCATGACTAAGAGAAGGAACTAGAATCAAATAATTCAAAAGAAATTCAAATATTTCTTTATCAAATGCTTTTTATCACAGCTCGGCAATGATGCGCCATATCTGCAAATGAGATTTAGGAGCTACAAACTGAAGAGATGATTTTCACCCAAAAATGATTTCAATTTCTGTCTCTAAAACAAAACAATCATATGATTTCAGAGGAATTTTTGATATTGTTAGCTAAAACTTCAAATAAGGCTGAAATTAAATGTACATTTATGCACAGATGCTTTTATCCAAAGTGACTTCCATTTAAGGTACAATACATTTGAACAATTCTAGCAAGAAAATAAATATAAATATTAAATTAATAAATATTAGAAAACAAATGAAAATTAGAAACACTGCCTTGACAACTAACTGACATAAAATATATGTTCAAGTACTGAAAATGACAAAAAAATCTAAGTAGAAATATAAATAATAATAGTAATAATAAGAAGAACACATAGCAAAACTACAAAAACTTCAAAATACTAAAACTGTAAATATAAAAATAATAGGCAAACCAAAATATGAATAAATTCTAGAAGATTCTATAATAATAATATTCTATTAAAATAACTCTTTAATAATAACTACTTGATAAAAAAATTATTATAATAATAAAAAATAAGCCAGGGAATGAATAAATAAATGAATTACAAGAAATGAAAGTATATCAATGAAAGTGTTTTAAAAGTACAAGTTAATTTGAACTCTTTGAATCCTCAGCTTCTTTAGTTTTGTTAACTTTTGCAGGTCAGTCAGAGACCGCTTCACTGTACTGCAGACAGGTGGCTAGTGATGGTGAGTTCACCTGGAAGACCTCGGTCTGGCTGGACTGAGGATGAGGATGCGGGTCTCCTCCCTGCTGGCTGTGGTGTTGACTCTGCCACTGAGACCAGACCTCAGACGGCCGGCCCTGGAACTGCCCTCCGCTCTGGCTGCTCTCACCCGACACATCTGCACAAACCAACACAGACACATTCACCACAGCCACGAACAGACACTTCTTCAGCTTAAAGATCAATGGACATTACGGGTTTTGGTTCTTTTTGCAAGCCCAGTGAACGGTTCTTGTATGCAAAAGAGCTGTGAAGTGTCATTATTGTTAACTAAAATCATACAAATAATTTGTTGATTGAAATATAAATATTACATGAAAAACGTCAACTTACAAAATTGAACAAAACTTAGAAACTGAATAAAATAAAAATAAGTGTTATTATTGTAGTATTAAAAAACATTTGTTGAAATAAAATCAAATAAATATTAGATTGAAACTTAAACTTAAAAACCCTACAAATTATAAATGGAATAAAATAACTGAAATAAAAATAAGTGTTATTTCTGTTAACTATTAAAAACATTTGTTAATTAAAATGAAGATTAAATAAAATACAATATTAGACTTAAAAAATCATGAAAATTAAATTATACAGAAAATAAAATATTATTGTTAACTAAAACTATTTTTTTAAAGTAATTTGTTGATTGAAATAATATAACGATCTTAAACGAAAGGCAAACTTAAACAAACAAACTAAAATTATGAACTGAATAAAATGAAAACAAAAGAACTGAAATAAAAATAAGTGTTATTACTGTTAACTATTCAAAACATTTGTTAATTAAAATGAAGTTTAAATAAAATACAATATTAGATACAAAATCATGAAAATTATACAGAAAAAAAACAAAAAATAAAATGTTATTATTGGTAAACTATTAAAAAAAATCATTTGTTGATTGAAATAATATAATAATCTTAAACGAAAGACAAACTTAAACAAACTAAAATTATGAAGTGAATAAAATGAAAATAAAATAACTGAAAAAAAGCTGAAACTAAATAATGCTAACTGAAATACAATGAAAAACTAAATATCAGACGAAAAACTTAAAATCTATGAATTAAACAGAATAAAATAAAAACAGAAATTAAATAAAATAATTAAGCAATAAAATGACAAAGTAAAATTGAAATAAAAAAATAAAGCTAAATAGAAATATTAAAAAGCAAACTAATAAAAATGTACATAAAATGACTAAAACAGTAAAAAAATAATAATTTTGTGTTCTACAGAAAAAACAGAATAATGGAATAAATGATGGCAGAATATTGAGATACAGATCTCTCGCCGCTCAACAAACATGTTTAGACTTTACAGAGCCGATCCTCCCTATTCATAGCTTTCAGTCACGTGACCGGCTCGAAGACTAGCAGCGCAAAACATCCATACAACTGCAGCACGAGCCTGTCAATTTTCCTTCTGTTTCACAGCCGCAAATACTTAGATCACCTCTCAAAAGAATAAAACAAAGGTATGTGTGAACAAAATGCAAGTTTTGGCCAGTTGCAATCCATAGTAAGCACTCGCAGCTATATTTTAATCATTAAACAGTGCGACAAAACGTTGTAAAAACACTTAAAGTGCCTTAATATATTTAAAACAATTATATTAAAATATCAAATTCAGTAATCTCTATATTAATGATGCATAGTTTACATAGGCAGGCCGGAATATGAACGCAATCCGCTTAATGGTTCAGTGCTTTCCTTATAAAGGTTTTCTATGGGAAACCATTTAACGTGAACACATTGCGTTTATATTCTGGCTTCATCTGCTTGCCTGTACAAAATATACATCAATAAGGTGTATACTGAATTTCGACGTCACGTGAAAACCATCAATACGCAAAATACGAAAGCTGCGTAGGGCCCCCGAAACCCCAGGGGGCCCCCTTGCTCTCAAAGATGATTTAATTTTAGTTTTGTTTCTGAATTTGGCCAGCGGTTATGAAAACACGAATGATCACTTCTTTTAATGCGGTGCGCTGTCGCTCTTTCTACGTAAAAATCAGTCAAATCCTGTAACGTGAATGTCGTACAGTCTTGCTCGAGACAAAAAAAAAAAACGAGTTGAAAGTGACCCTGTTTCTCAAGCACTTTCTGCGAGCGCGATTCGAGATGGAGTGAAACGCGGACAAATGCGTTTCATTCATTTGGTCATAACCACTCATACCCCGCCCCCCCCGCCGCCAACACAGTTTTGCGTAGGGCCCCCAGAAGTCTAGTGCTGCGTCCCAAATGACGCACTATACACTATGCACTCATACACTATGTACTCAATCATGTAGTGCATGAATTATATATGGCTATTTTGTCATTTATAATCGGAGTCTGATAGCCCCTCCCCCTTCGCTACGTAATTAAAGCTGCAACAGTTGAGTGCATGAAGTGTCCAACATTCCACACTTCCAGGTATTTAAAGTGCACTTTTTCTTTTTGGAATTTTCAGTGTAAATGCACTACTCGCACTATTTATACTAAAAAAACGTCAAAGAATAGTGCACAAGTACGCGATTTGGGACGCATCTTAGGACAGGCATCTGAGACTTTACGGTATCAACTTCCACATTAACTCCAGCACGTCTACTTCTGCAGCATCTCAATCGAGCGTGCGTGTCAAACACTTCAAGCGTACGACCTCCATTTCGCTCAATTTGTGGCACGGGGGGCATTTACTACAGGCTGACAGAATCATTTAAATGCATGCATCGAGTGTGTCTTCACCCGCAGGGCCCGAGTCTTTGCTTAGGAAAGAGCGAGTGGAGCAGACTAATGCGCGGCGTGGGTGGCTGTTTCGCAGGATGGCACAGCAGCGCCCTCGGGCTGTTTCTCATATTCTCCATGCTGATGAGGCAGTGATGTAAGGTCAAACTTCTCATTTCCCTACTGTGTTAATGCTTGCCGAGAGCGGCCCTCCTCCGGCTCCGTTTCTGTCCGTCTTTCCCTCAAGGTTCGGCCACTTGACGCGCCTCGTAAATCTCTCTATCAATTTTTCTATTCGTCTTTGGTGGCGTTTCTCTCCCCTAGCCATCTTTCTCCGTCCCCATCAATCTGAAATCCACGTACTTTGTGTTCTCCCTCAGTGTCTGGAGCGCTTATGTAGCGCGTATCCTCCGGTCGCTACGTCAAACCTGATTCTCAAAGATGTAATGCTACAAAATGCCGGCGTGACAAAAGCAAACGGCGTTCAAACAAAGAAATCAATACGAGGACTCAAAGCACAAAGTACTCTTGCTTTGATAACGATAAATGCAGCTTTTGAAAGCTTGCTGGATTTCACGTACACATATAAAGGCTGCAATTAAGGCACAATGTAACATTATCTCAGCATGAAACATTTGAAAGAAGGCGGTGTGTGATTATTGTTTATGCATTGCATTAGCTGGGAAAGTAAGACTACATTGTACGAACTATGAAGCACAAATCCAAAGAGTCTAACAGGAGCTGGTTTATCTGTAAATATAGAACTGTATTGATTTTATGTAAACAGTCACTAGGCGATTCTTTTATTCTGTGGAATGTATTTATTTATTGTGGGGACTGAAATCTTGTGAAACATCTGTGTAAAAACATTGATCATGTCTTGGAACCAATAACTAGCAGTCAATTAACTTTGAGCATATACAAATAAAGAACCACTTGATTTTCTGAAGTTCGTAGCATTTGGTAATGACGCCTAATAAATCTGCCCTCAGATCATGATATGAAAATGTTAAAATTAATGGTAACACTTTATTTCGATAGTCCACTTTAGACATTCTATTAACAGTAAGTAACTTTGCAACTACATGTCAATTAGCAGTTAGTAGAGTATTAGTAGACTGTCTGCTTGATATCTTCTAACACTTTCTTTGTCAACTTATTCTACTAACCCTAAACCTACCCTAACAGTCTACTCTGAGAGTTAGTAGACATGTAGCTGCAAATTAATGAGAATTAGTTGACATGTAGTTGACATGTAGTTACAAAGTTACTTGTAGTTAATAGAATGTCTAAAGTGGACTATCGAAATAAAGTGTAACCAAATTAATGACATTTCTGATCTTCAAACCGCTGCTCTGGCAGTGATATGCTCCCCTGTCACTTCTCACTTCCATCAGAACTGAATATGAAATATGAAAATATGGTTTTTGAAGTTCTTTGGGAAAAGTGCAAAGTACAACTTTCCTCATTTTAACACTATGAATTTATCACAGAGACAAAAGTACATTTCAGCTAAATTTAGCATTTGAGACTTTGGCAAGAGTAATTAAGATTATTAATTAAAATATTATAATAAATAATTAAGATTCTAATATTTTATACAGCAATGTATGTGTGTGTGTGTGTGTGTACCGGTCAAAAGTTTGGGATCAGTAAGACTTGTAATGTTTTTAAAGAAGTCTCTTATGCTCATCAAGGCTGCATTTATTTGATCAAAAATACAGAAAAAACTGTAATCTTGCAAAATGTTATTACACAATAAAATAATAGTTTCTATTTTAATATACTTTAAAATGTAATTTATTTCTGTGATGCAAAGCTGAATTTCCATCAGCCATTACCCCAGTATAAAGTGTCACATGATCCTTCAGAAAATATTAAGCAGCACAACAGTTTCCAGCACGGATAATAAATCAGTATATTAGAATGATTTCTGAAGGATCATGTGACACTGAAGACTGGAGTAATGATGCTGAAAATTCAGCTTTGAGCACAGAAATACATTACATTTTAAAATATATTCAAATAGAAAACAGTTATTGTAATTTTAAATAACATTTCACAATATTACTGTTTTCACTGTATTTTTGATCAAAGAAATGAAGCCTTAGTGAGCAAAAGAGACTTAAAGTAGTTTTATTTGCAACTTTCTACTAGGTCTTTTTAAGCAACTAAGCAGTTTTTGTTTCTCTTTGGTCAGTTGTGACCACAAATAAAGCACATACTTACACAAACTAAAAATACATGCACTCAGTTTGATGAAAACTGGGATTAAACCGATTAATTCCAAATACAGAAAAAGACGGTGTCTTCCTGCAGTCTCAGAGTCCTTCCTCCCGTCGCGTGTTTAAGTGCCATTCACATGAGGAGGCGAAGATAAATGTTCCATTTTCTTTAATGACAGCATATTAAAAAAGAATTATCTGGACACGGCTTCATTTTCAAGCGGCTGGCAGAAGCCTTCAGGGCTCGGAAAGCCATTCGGAGCCTGCTACACTTGAAATAGAAGTGGGTTTTTAATGTCACCTGTTTAACACAAATTACTTATTAAATGGACACACTAATCACAGGTTCAAGGTAGAGTGTTTCCCTCGAGGGACACAACAATGGGGAAAAAATGTCATCCTGTAAAAGTCTCCGTACGCACGCCCTGCTTCAAATTAAATTCGGTTCGCAGACCTGAATGTGATGGAGAAATCTGAGGCGGCTTTAAACGGATGTAATGCAATAACAACGATTCTACAGTTTCTCGCTTTAAGCCGTTCAGCATGTTCTGCCTTTCGGTCGAGGAGTGTGAAAAGTTGCACAATTGTGTTTGTGTATCTGTGCCCTTCGTGTCACGCTGGTCAAATTCCTCACTTTAAAGTGTCAGGATACAGAAACCAGATCTCTCTTGCATGAGTTTAAAAGGTGCAAGTCTTGACAGATTAATTAAACCCACTGCAGGCTGTTTAAAGTCCTGACAAAAGAAACGCAAGTCAAGAGCAAGAGTTTGACTGATGTAACATCAACGTGATCTCTAGGATGGGACAGGAGTGGGCGATGGCTCATATCATGGTATGAGGAATTTTATATTGTGAAAAAAGTTAATGCGTGAATAATAATAATAAATGTAAAAAATAATAATATTTAATAAACATGCAATATTTCATATATTTTTTTCCCTGTAATATAAATAGTAATATACTATTTATAAAAAAATCATTTATTAAATTACTTTTCTTAAGATAATATAAGAAAAAATAAACAAAATATTTAAATAATCAGAATTTTTGTTTATACACACACACACACACACACACACACACACATTCTGTAATATAAATAATTTATCTAATATTATATATAAAAAAATAAACATTCAATATTTAATTAATCTAGATTTGTTTATATATATATATATATATATATATATATAATATTACATTTGATTATATTTATTTTATATTACTTTTATCAATAATTATAAAAATATATATTTATAATATTCTAAAATATATTTATAATTCTATATATATATATTTTTAAATGATGATAATGTTAACAATATATGCTAGAAAAATATTATGTAATACATAAAAATAGTAAATTATACAAATATACTTAAAACAATTGTTCTATTTCTGAAAAAATATACTGAATATAATTATGAACATCATTACTAATAAATTTAATTATTCATTAACTCTGCTTTATCTAAGAACACCCTTTACCGTAGTAAAACACTGTAATGCATGGCCTCACTTGGCCTATTGTTGTATTATATAATTGCTCTGTATCATTTTAAGCAACAGCATCTTTTCTTGTTACATTTAGATAATAACTTCATTAAAAAGTAATTTTCCAAACTCGTTGAATAAGTTATACGCATTGTCAAACACTTTCATGATTAATAGTCACTGTTGAGAAGTAATTTTGTAGAGTTTGTAAAACTACGAACACAAACATCTAATTGCCTGCTGTCCAACAATTGTGATCATTCAAACCCCAGAAATCTGTTTTTCATACGGTCTATAATAGAGTTTACATGGCCAAAGCAAAGAAACCAGAACAACAAAACCGTTTGTCTCACTATGGACACCATACAGACTTCACACTGTCTGCTGTTCATGACACCTCTTTCTGCTGAAGACAAACGACTGCTTCAGTCATTGTCTGTTACTGTGTGTGTTTTATATGGAAAGCTATAAATCGTTGTACATGTAAAAGACGGGCCCACGGGAGGACTGGTTTCCCAGAGGTGCTGTAATGTGGCCTCCATATGACGTCAGGCTGGATCAGATCACGGTTTGAGTAGCACGGTGGATCTTCTGTGAGATCATTCAACCGATTCAGGTACAAACAGAGCTGCAGGAGTCTGAGGTTGTCACGATGATCAAATTTCGCTAGTGGATATCAATACTTTTACATTAGCAATAGCAGTTGATAAAAGACAAGGAAAATGAGCGCAATCAGAACCAAAACCAATGTTTCCATAAATGACCAACAATGTAAAAAAGATTTTTTACTTTACATTAGTGCTGGACGGTATACCGGTTCATATCGAATACCGGTGTTTATTTTTGTTATGATATTAATTTTTTTAATACCGCAATACCGGTATATGTCGCTTAAACAACGTTCGGAACGCAACACTGTTTGAAAGGGGTCCCTTTTCACTGTTGCACTGTGGTGAGGGAACAGCTGTATGTGTTACTAAGCGTGAAAGTTCCAAAACTGAAGCTGTAGAACTAATAGAACGTGATGACACAGAAGAACTCATCCACAATATCCACATTGACCGCCACAAATATCCACCGCCCCCTGCCATCAGCTCCCGCGTCTCACACACACACACACAAGCATGACTTTAGCACTAGATTTAGCAACTTTCAGACCCTTTTAGCAGCTTTTTTCCATAGAATATTCATACTGACAAACCTAAAGACTTTTTTGGATAAACCTTAGCTATGATTCAGTTGGAAGATTTCTCCAGTGCTGTCCCGCGAACGTGAGGTCTGACTTTCCCGGAGGAGTGTCACCTCTCTCGGTGTCTGTTCTGTGCAGTGAGCGGCAGAGAAGCAGCGCTTTCAGTTGGCCGCACCGCAGCCGCCTCGTCAATAAATCAGTACAAAACAGCGTTTCCAAGCACCTGTCTCTTACTGATTGTTTGGAATTATAAATATGAGCGTAGTTCGTCTGTTAATATCATTTTTTGTTTGTTGATTTTTTTAGTTTGTTACTCAGACGCAGGCAGTGCGCTGCACGAGACAAAAAAGTAATATAACCAAAACAACCACATAGCCGCTCTTTATATTTTTGGACAATATTCACTCATGACAGTAAAATAGGGCATTCTAAGTCAATATACTGCAGTATTTCCTCTCTCAATCAGTAGAAAATATGGTTAACACCTGGTCATGCATGAAAAAAAAAAATACACCGTCATGTACCGTGAAACCGGTATAATTTTGAAAAATACCGTGATATAAATTTTTGGTCATACCGCCCAGCACTACTTGCAAGTAAACATAACAAAGATTATAGGAGCACTTTTTACAAGAAAATACTATTTCAGTTTTTCCACTGCAAAAATGTAATGTTTAATTCAATGCTACTTGCCATTTCTTTGTAATTGCTTGTGAAATTTACTAGCAATTTCTGAGTGAAAAAAAGTAAATTATAAAACAGATAGTTCCGGTCCTTGATTCTGATTGGTTGAGCCGCGTTCAAAGCTGTTGTAAATTACTCCACAAACATACACCTTTGTTTACATTTGTGTGTTGCTCGGCAACCACTTTGTTGGAACCACAACTGTTTCTGAGGAACTACATTGTTTGGTGGAAGAATACTGTTTTTATTAATATCATTACACTTTATTTGCTCTGTTTTATTTTGTGAAACCTTACTACGTATATGAAATAACCGTTTTATAAAAGCAATAAGCTCCGTGAAGCCGTGGTTTACGAGGCTTCGCGTCGTGCCTAACAACGCCCCTTAGCTGTTATAAATTCACTGTAAAACACGGCTTCTTGGGGCTTATTGCTTTAGCAAAAAATGCACAATTACATGTGCATAAATGTAATATATATGTAAGGGATAATGCATGGCTAGCTGTGCATTAAACGATTTTAACGCACGACGGGGAGGCCAAGAACCACCCGACGCGAAGCGCATTAAAATCATTTAATGCACAGCTAGCCATGCATTATTCTGCTCATACCTTGGTCATTTGCCAACATTTACAAGTTAAAGCTGTTAATGATGTTTTTACTGAAGGGTAACAATTACTGTTATTTTCGTCAGTTACGGCTCGATAGCTCTTGAATGAATTATAGCATTTATTTGAATTAATTGAATTAACTGACAATTGTGTGTGTGCTATCTTTGTCTGCGTGTCTCTCTACAAACAATGAAGCTGTGTTACTTCAAAAACAGCGATTTTACACCTTGTTGCTGAGGAATATAATGTAGCGATCTAGTATCGAGGCGATTTTATTAATAAAAGTCGCAGGAAGCGTTGACAAGTTTGTGTGTGTGTGTGCGCGCGCACAGTGCAATCTGCGATCTCTGACTCTCTCTCTGCCTTTCTCTCGCTCTCTCTTTCTGTGTGTGTTTGTTTGTGTGTTTGTGTGGGAGAGATGTGTGTGTGTTTGTTTGTGTGCATCAATTAAAGCAGCACATTAATATAGAACGGTGATTAAACTGACTTGGAACTACCTGTGCATTAAAGAGTTTTAATGCATACCTGCCAGCCAATCAGAATCGAGAATTCAGGCAGACCATGGTATAAATTGTAAAATAATAAATTATTATTATATTAATATATTCTATATTTGATACTAATAAAAACAGATATACCAGCAGATATACCAATAAATGTACCACAAGGAGTTGCAGATGTACCAAAACTTTGACATCCCTAATATCTTTGGAAGTTATTATAATATCTACCCGATCACGTTGGATAGTTAATGACAGAATGAATGAATGCAGCAAAGTTAGCACAGTAAACAATATGCACCAAAATGATGAAATTTAAGGCACACCATAACTACATTAGCGTCCACACCGATGCATGATAATGTTCTCTTTATTATAAGCATGTGCTGCACTTTTGTCATCTGCCACTTTAAATGCTTGAGCGCTTTAAAGCAGGGCAGATTCTGATTGGCTGTCAACGTTTTTAGCATTCATCAGCTGTAAAAAATAGCTATTCCAAAGACAATGTTCCTCTGTGCTGTTAGAATTACTGTATCTTTGATTTTATTCTTAACGTTATAGTCCTTGGTGCAAACCAGCCTTTGTTGTCATAAATAAGCAAGTCTTACCGAAAGCAGTGCTACGATTGGCCAGGTTGGAGTAGGCGTTTCCAGAGGGCGAGGAGGTGGCGGGGCTGGACAGAGGGCTGTAAGAGGACGGGTCAGCCTGGTAGCTGTGAGTGGAGCCCATGCCGAACGGTGAGGCCTGGGCCTTACTGGACTGAGCGGGAATCTGCTGCTGTGGTGGAACGACAGGGGACGTGAGGATATTAATATACAGGCGCTGCTTCACAGGCCACAGTGCAGTCTCATTGGGCCAATTGCTGTACATGGGTCAAAGACGTTAAGATGTCCGCATCAAAAGAAATTTACAAAAGTGATTATATGTCCATAGAAAGCACATTAAATATAAGCAAAGTGTCTACTTTTAAGGTTTTAAATAAGTTTTTGGAGAATAAAATATTCAAATTTGGTTGAAATAATGTTACATTGTCATTCAGTGTAACAATATTTATGTAAAAATTCAAACAACATGCTTATTCTGACTTGTGCATATTAAAATATATAAAAGAATAAGGGAGCATATTACATTTTATTGTGTTTTAAATGAGTAAATATTCTTTCTGACAAATAGGCAAAACCTAGGATAGTGGTAAATTAAAAAAAATTAAAATTACAACTAATTAGTATTTGGGGTGAAAGTAATTAGTCTTTTAATATGTCATAAATTGATTTTTGTTGTAAATATGCCTGACAAGATTGTTACACTGAATGACATTTTAGTGGGTGTCTTCTGTAAATCAGGGAAAAATGTATGATATTTATTTTTGCTCAGAAAAACAAAAACAAAATTGCAATTAAATTAAACAGAAAACCTTTAATTTTTTTTGGGAAAAACAACAACAATTAAAGCAGTATTACACTTACTGTTTTTATGCTTAAACCCTTTTTCGTCTTTGACACATATACAAGTTAAGGCATATGGTATTTTCAAGTAATTAATACTTTTATTCAGCAAGGACTCATTGATCAAAACAATCGTAATATTACAAAAGATTTCTATTTTAAATAAATGCTGGTCCTGAAAAATCCTGAAAAAAATGTATGACAGCTTTCACTAAAATATTAAGCAGCAACTGTTTTCAACAATGATAATACCAAGAAATGTTTCTTGAGCAGCAGATCAGCATATTAGAATGATTTCTGAAGGATCATGTGACACTGAAGACTAGAGTAAAGATGCTGAAAATTCAGCTGCGCATCACAGCAATAAATTACATTTTAAAATATATTCAGATAGAAAACTGTTTTTTTGAAATTGTAATAACATTTCACAATATTTCTGTTTTTACTGTATTTTTAAATAAGACAAACAAGATCATAAAAGAAATGTTTCAAAAACATTAAAAAAATTTTTGAATCTCACAATACAGTTATCTTAGCTGCAAATTAAGTGCAGAAATTTTTTATTTTTGTTATATAAACCTCATGCTTGGATAATCCAGTAAAATATACTTCATCCCACTTCATTATTTTACAGTTCTGCTAAATTTCTAGTGCTCTCTCTACTCCAGTTTTCCCTGGAAACTCTGTTAGGACTGAGTGTCTGTATCTGCTTAACAACAAACAGGACTTTAAGATCTTACAATTGGGCTAAAAGTCTTAACGGAGCTGAGCAAAAGGAAGAGCAGTGCAATCACACAATTACAGCTGCAGACAAAAGGCTTCACTTTTAATCAATGGAGAACCGCAGAGATACTTGTGGACCAGCATTTCTCTGTTCTTCTGCATAACAAACGGCTTTACACGTTATTACTTAGGATATTATAAATGTGACATGACTGGTGGAACATTTTTTAAATGATATACATGCATTTTATTGCTTACTAAAGAAATACATAAACCACACACACACACACACACTCAGTTCAGAACTGATTAAAAACACACACGCTATATGTTATTACTTAGGATATTATAAATGTGACATGACTGGTGGAACATTTTTTAAATGATATACATGCATTTTATTGCTTACTAAAGAAATACATAAACCACACACACACACACACACACACTCAGTTCAGAACTGATTAAAAACACACACGCTATCATGAACGCCAAACGCAAGGTTCTTGATGACCCTGGTAACCCTTTCAAATTTAAGCATTAAGCACAGCCTGATGGCCTAAAAGATAATATAAAAGCGAATGATTCCCTCTCTTATACTGGCTCATATTACTTTAATTGGACATTGTTGCACTCACAACTTGTACAGTTTCCATTCATACAGCTATCCAGTTTTCAAACTTTTTGTATATGCAATAACATAATAAATTATTTTTTGTCATTTTAGGTTTTGTATTATTATTATTTAATAATAAATAAATAAATATTATTTATTATTTTATTATTTAGTATATATGGGTTGTTGATATATAGATACCGTACATGTGTCCTATGGTGTAACAGCAAAATTGAGAAAACAATTAATCATTATTAATAATTAATTTATTGTTAATACTTGTTAATAATATACAAATAGCATAAGAGGGATTTTTTTTCATTGTTAGTTTTTTTTGCCCTAAATTTTTGCTGTCACACCATAGGACACATTTACAGTATATTTGTCAACTACACACACATACATAGTTTCCTGCCACATACAAAAACGTTGCAAAATATATTAATATTTATATTTTTATACTAATATTGTATACATGTATAAATGTAATGTTTTTATAATTATATCATATGTAATCATTTTACAACTATTTTTATAGAAATGATTATTGATTGTTATTTTTTTATTATTAAATATATAAATATTATATATATTTTGCCCCCTAAACATACCAAAATGTGTTGCAAAATATGGTAAAAATAGTGCTTGTATATATCTATGTATGTATAAATATATCTATCTATCTATATCTAACACAAGCGTTCCCCGTTCTTTTTCTATTCCATCTACTTGTTTACTGTTATTA